GTGTTAATCTCCTCTATCCAGCAATCTTCAAAGCCTCTACCATGGGAGGCCCAATCCTTGATAATGAGTATAAGACAATCTTGTATCAGTAATCCTACCTTCAAGTTCAATTGTGTTCCACGCTTAGGCAACCAGGTAGCTGACTGGGTTGCCCGTGTGTCACTGAGTGGACAATGTCCCTTGTATTGGGCACATTGTCCTCCCAATATCCTACGTAATCTGCTATGTAGGGATGTACATAAAACTTAAATTAATAGTACATTACCCAAGTTCAAAAAAAAAAAAAAAAACTATAGGGAGATACTTTGGTTAATATGAGACCAAATTAATCTCTTCAAATGTATCAAAGTTTTCATAGGATGTGCTCTTAGAATAAAAAATGATTAATTTTAAAATATATAAAAATTAATTGTTCAATCATTAACTATATAAATGAAATGAAATAATTTTGTATAAAATTAATGGAAATAGTGCTTATCAGTCTTACCTTCGAAAATTAGAAGAAAAATCATCTCAAAACTAGTCGTTTCAATAAATCTCCACTAAAAAAGATTAAAATACCTTATTTTAAAAATATAAATTAGAGTGTTTTTTTGTCATTTCCTGTAATATTTTATTAAAACTATATAGTTTTGGAATGACTTTCCTCTTAAACATATTAAGAGGTAATATTGATAGGTAATATTGATAGGTAGTATTCCCAAAATTAATTATATATCAAAAGTACAATTCACCTTCTATATTTATTAAAATATATTAAATAAAAATTTTATATTATTTTATTAAAAATATAATAAATTTATAAGATATGTTGTATTTTATAAAGTATTACATTAGAAAAGGACTGAATTTCAAAACAAAATTAAAATAAGGACTGAATTTCAAAGTTTTACCACGGTAAAATCCAGGAAAAAGGTTGAGAAGTAAAGGTCCTTGTCCTTTATCTTTATGAATGTGCAATGGCGGGTTCCACGAGTCTTCTTCCCCCTCACCCCCTCACCCTCTCTGCAAACATCAACAAGACGCCATTATTCTTTTCACCTTCACGCATCTCCATGATTATTCAATCGCAAAACAACAAACTAAACCCCCCCTTCTCCCTCCACTCGCCTTCATCTCAACGGTCAGATTTCTTGGTTCTTCCCCCTCCCCCCACCCCCTTCTGCCGTGCACTGACTCTGTTGCTCACTTCCTTGTCTTCTTCTCTGCCATGTAACATGACCGTGTCTACTTGCTTCCATTTCCTGTCTCCGGTTCTGGGTCTTTGAAATCTCCCTCGGATCTAGTGTTCTAAAATGTTTTCTCGTCTGCGATTCTACCTGCTGGCACCATGACTGTGACTATTCAATTGGGTTTTCTCGTCGTCAACGCATTAGACCCGTCTTTCTCAGTTGTTGTCATACATTTTGATATGGGTTGTGGAGGATCCAAGTCTGACGATTTGCCCGTGGTCAAGCTCTGCAGGGAGCGGAAGGAGTATATTAAAGCGGCGTCCGACCACCGATTCGCCCTCGCCGTCGCCCATGTCAACTACTTCCAGTCGCTCCGGGAAGTGGGGGATGCGATTCGCAGGTTTGTTGATGAGGAGCTTGTTTTGGGGGATTCCTCCTCGCTTTCTGATTCTCCGGTCCTGACTTTGCCATCTGACGATTTCAAACCATCCTCGAAAAGGAAGAAACATAAAGGAGACGGAACCCATGATTCTTCTTCGGCTTCAATAGAAGATAGCAGCAGCAGACATGTGAAACTAGAGAAGGAACAGAGTGATGTTGAGGATTCCCATTTGCATTTGTCGTCTGGGTCGGCTTCAATTTTGGGTTCTCATTCAGAATCACCTTCTTCATTGGGTTATACGCATACTCATTTCGAGGGAGAAGAAGCTGCGCCATCGGAACCTTACGGCAATGGCTATTCTTACCCCTATCCTCCTCAAGGAAATTGGGAATATCCTTATCCTCCTCAGGGAAATTGGGAATACCCATATCCTCCTCCGGGTAATTCCACGCCCCATACGTATTACATGAAGAAATCTGCAACACCTTCTCAGTCGTTTGTGTACCAGGAGCCAGATAGCTATTCGGCTTATGGGTACTCGGGTTCTACTCCGTACCCCAATGGAGGAGGGTTTTCTGGCTACCCTATGGGCTCGCCTCAAGGGGACTATGGGGGAGTGCAGAGGAATTCTCCTGCCGCTCCACCACCAGCCCCACCATCACCACCGAGCGTTTCCGCATGGGATTTTTTCAATGTGTTTGATAGCTATGATGGTGGAGGGTACCCGGGTTATTACCCGCAGAGTAGATACGGGTATGGATCGAGCACGAGCAGCCCGGATTCTAAGGAGGTAAGGTTGAGGGAGGGGATTCCTGAGCTAGAAGATGAAACAGAGCCAGAGATGTTGAAAACATTCTACAAACAGAAGAAGAAAATGGAGGAGGAAATGAATAACGTGAACAGGAATAGGAATTTTGGTGAGGGTACTTCCAGGGCAGTGCCTGTTCAAAACGGTAGTGAGGAATCAACTTCGAGCTCAAAGTACTTTTATTTTGATGCAACTTCGACTTCGAACTCAAAAGGAGTGCCATCACAGGACAGTAAGAGCCCAGAGTCTGGTCATATTAAATTTGTGGGTAGTAGTCCTGATACTATTGCATCAAAGAGCCCTGAAGAAGAGCATGTGAAGAAGAAAGGAGTGAATTTTGAGGTAGAGGAGGCATCTGTAAAGGAAGTTGAGTCATCTAAATACAGTAGCTTAACTACATTGTCTGTTCATGGTACAAAAGACCTCCGAGAGGTTGTGCAGGAGATAAGAGATGAGTTTGAGATTGCCTCCAGTTACGGGAAAGAGGTTGCAGTGTTGCTTGAGGTGAGCAGGCTGCCTTATCAGCGTAGAAGAACTGGGTTTAGAGGTGGGATCACAGTTATTTTCGTTTCAGATTTTGGACCTTTATTTATTTGTTTATTTTCTTAGCTGTTCTCTTCTTTTATTAGATGTAGATTACAATTTTCTTTATATTGTTAGGAATGTTAGTTGTAGTTTACAACCTGTTTAACACTATGTTGGATTTCTGATACTGATTGATAGTGTTTACAGAAGAATTAAGTTATTCATTCTTATCGCATGATGCATTCAAAGATTCGTATGGAGTGAAAACATTTTTCATCTTGATCTGGCTGAGTTATTCGGCAGATAGAACTGGTTTGTGTCAGAACATGTTTCTGCATTTTCTCTGCTATTGTAGTGCTGAGCCTTAGAGATTGACAAACTGCAATACTTGATTAGGCTTTCTTAAGTTGTAATGAACCAGACAGTGTTTTCCTAATAACTGCATCATGAAAAGTGGGACTGGTTAACATGTTCACCTGAACCCATATAATGCAGTTAACTTTGATGACATTAGGAATTAAAAGCTAAAGATGAGCTGCTTGAGAATTTTTATACAAGCAAGCTTATAATAGGAGATTTAGTGTTTTGTGCACTATTATTCTACTTAGCACTTACCAATAAAATTGAATCCTTAGCTTGTCCTTATCCTGAATGTTGGGTTTTGCCAAAGTTATTTTATGGTTTCAACTAGAGTAGCATTTTATTTTCTGGTTTATGAGTATTAAATTGCATCCAGTTAAACATTATTTACCTTTTTTCTTAATTGAAACTTATGTGTCTTTATGCAGTAATATTTTCCAGGATCCTCTATTTGGTGGCACCAAACATTTTATCTTCACACTCTCTACCCAGATCGTCAATACGATTAACTTCTAGAACAATGAAGCTGGCAAAAGACTACCATGAGGCATATGGGCAAGACCTAAACACAAGGCAAGGAAACATATCAGCAACTTTGGAGAAACTTTATGCATGGGAGAAGAAACTATACAAGGAAGTTAAGGTATGTATATACAGGAAAAAATAGTGAGCATTTATGTTTTTATTTGGCAATTTGATGATTGTTTAAGCTCTAATATGTGCATCAAAGTTGATTAAATACCTTGTTCCAATCTTATGATTATTAACAGTTTAGGGGTCACATTCCTTGTTGTTGGCAGTCAGATCCAGATAATTCTCCTCTTTTTCTTTGTTATGAGCTTTGCTTCTGGAATCTTGGCAATTTCTGCTGATCTACTTTTGCTGGAAATTCTATATAGCCATAGTTTGATTAGTTATATATATAAAACTTCTCAATTTTTCTTACTACCAAAAATCAGTGCATAATAGAACAGAAAATGTTATTTCTTGAATATCATATCTCTCTCTTTTTTTTTTTTGATCTTGGGTCACACAATGGGAGACAACTCTCTCCCATCCCTTAACTCACTCCATCCACAAGCCATGCGACTTGAACTTAGGACCACCTACTTTCTCCAGAAAGAGATTACCATTGAGCTACTTAGGTCACTGGCAAGAATATCTTATCCCTTAGTTTCAGCATATAGCATTCAAAACAACTGAACTCTAATCACATATGTTTTTGTTGCTAAAAATATAGTCTGACCTGGATATGGTATTAATTGTATCAGTTGTAGAATATTCTCGAAGCAGTATAGTTGGTGCGGTATCCATGCATTATTAATTATGTGTGTGCATGTTGCTTTCAGGATGAGGAGAGGCTCCGGGTTATTTATGAGAAGAAATGTAAGCAGCTGAGAATGTTAGACAACCACGGAGCAGAGTCCAGTAAGATTGATGCCATTCAGGCTTCAATAAGAAAATTGCTAACTAAAATTGATGTTTCCATCAAAGCTGTTGGTGTTATATCCATAAGGATACATAAGCTACGGGATGAAGAACTGCAGCCTCAGCTCACTGAATTGATTCATGGGTATTGCCTTGCCTTCTTCTTTGATTGATGTTAAACATTCTGTTGCTTGCTAATTATTCATTTTCGTTCTTCTGGTAGATACTGAAGATGGATATGTAGCTTTGCAAATATGTTTTCCCTCTAGATTCCTTCTTTTCTCTTTTATTTTTGTTCTTGAGATAGGATTGTTTGAAGATAGAAAAGGGACTTCTATTGCTTTGTTGAAGTGACAGCTGACTTTACACATTTATTCTCTTTAAAAAAAAAAAAATCTTGAAATTCTTGTATGTAACTTGCCTTTCTATTTGCAGATTGACAAGAATGTGGAAGTCCCTGCTGAGATGCCATCAGAAACAATTCCAAGCAATCATGGAGAGCAAACTTCGCTATCTAAGAGCAAATACCGGCTTTCAAAGAGACTCAGGTTTGAAAGCTACTCTTGAACTTGAGGCAGAACTTCTTGATTGGTGTTCTCGGTTTAATAATTGGATTGCCACACAAAAAGCTTATACTGAGTCCTTGAATGAGTGGCTTATGAGGTGCCTTACTCGCGAGCAAGAAGTAACTGCTGATGGAGTTGCTCCTTTCTCTCCAAGTCGGCTTGGAGCTCCCCCAATATTTGTAATTTGCAACGATTGGTTCCAAGCTATGGATAGAATCTCAGAAAAGGGTGTAGCAAATGCAATGCAGAAATTTGCTACAAGCTTACGTGAGCTATGGGAAAGGCAAGATGAGGAGCAACGACAGAAAACCAGGGCACAGTACCTCTCAAAGGATTTCGAGAAAAGGCTTAGGAACCTACGCATGGAAAGAGAGAGGTTACAAAATGATCAAGATGCATTGTCAGAAAGAACTGCTGCTTCCAAAGTTCCTTCTGACAGTGGAATTTCACCACTAGATGATCTGAAGGTAGACTTGGATTTAATGAGGAAGAAATTAGAAGAGGAGAGGGCCAGGCATAAGGAAGCTGTAAAATTAGTTCATAATGCTGCATCAAACAGTTTACAAGCAGGTTTGATCCCAATCTTTGAAGCTTTGGGCAATTTTAGCTCAGAGGCTTTGCAAGCTCATGAGCAGGTCAGACTTCAACATGCCGCAACTCATAGGTAACTGCATGAGTGAGAGGAACTGTGCCCTTGTGAATGTATAGTTTGTTGCAGTGAGAGGTTTAGATAAGATACACACAGATAAAGAAGGAAGGATCTAGAAAGTGGGGTTATTGGGTTGTTCAATGTAATATGAAGTTGAATGTTTTGGAATAACCCCTTAAATGATTGTACATAGGTAGGAATTTTGTACAGAAATTCATTTATTGGTTTATTGTTGTCTGTTAGATGTATTGGTTGTTGGTGGACTGCCTGGAGGGAGGCATTAGCATGGCAGTGTAACAACAAAAATTTTGATTGACAAATTATAAGAAAGCTCTTTTGGGAAGCTTATTTTATGGTACATTGGACGGTTTGTTGTTTTACATTAGAAGAGTTTGGACCTCTTAACATCACACAAATTAAAGTTTTAAAAGTAAATAGATACTAAATACAAATTAAAGTTTTAGAAGTTAATGGATACCGTTAATGGCTTTAATTATCCCAT